TATAAACACCTGGGCTTTGTAGCGGCAGTACATCCTTCGCCGTGCCTACCTTATCATGAAGTTTAGCCTCAGGTGTGTAGATCGTCGGGATCGAAATTTTTTTAAGGACGGATCCTATCTTGACTGTCACACCCTTGATATAAGGCATGAAGGCAGGTTATAATTTTCCGCGTTAATACCCGCGTAAATATAATGTTGTTAAGATGAAACGCGAAAGTTTAAAAGTTAGTATGGTTTTGATTGTTTTTGTGCGCAATTAAAGTTTATTTAGGAATACTAAATATTAAAAGAATTTACAAAGGTAATTCTTACTATCTATTAACGAGTAATATTTTGTAGCTAAGTGCGACGCTACGTAAGTAGAACGTGGAGCAGCGCTATGTCAAGTTACGTCAGTACTAATTTGCTTTGCTACGAAGCTACGACGACGTAGCGAATTGCTACGCAACTATGCTACGGCGTAGCAAAAGGTGATTTTATTACTATCTGCCTTTGATGTAACAGTAAAGGCTATAAAGGCTAAATAGGGGTATAATTACTGTGCCAGTGTTCTGTGACGACGGTATTACGTAAAACTGTAGCCGAACTTAACTGTATGTGACCGGTGGCAGCTATTTATTTGTCCGACAAGGGTGTGACGTGTGAAGGATACCTTTGCCATTGTTTTAGAAAGATTATTTTACTTTACTTTTCTTAGTTACGTGACTGAATTAATATTTTCTGATCTATATTTTATGTAAAATCTATGATTATTTTTAAAACGTCTAATTAAATTACCGATGTCCTCGAATTACAAACCTTACAAATTATACTCAATAAAATTGCAAAAAATATGTGTACAAAAAATGACATGAAATCGTTTTTATGCAATTGAAACTCATATTGAATAACAAAGACAGTTCAAAATGTAAGTACGGTACAGTATACCAATGAGGACTACAGTTACCTGAGCATCTATGTATTTAGTTATTTGGTTAGTGATCCGCTCGCGACGAGGGTAAGACATTTGACACACACCTTCGTTATTCACTATCACTTCACGTCACTCGTAGAACAACTTTACATTATATTACTTATTGAGGAAATTCGAGAACTAAATTAAACACGTGACTTAACATTAATTCAGGTAAGTTGAGTTGTAGCTGATTTGGAATTGTTAGTACATATTGTAATTAAATAAAAACCATTGGGTGTGCAAATGAATGTTTCTTACTCTTACATTACTTAAATTGATGAATTCTAGCTTGGGAGAATCTTGTTTTGGTACGGATTAACAAGCCCGACCGGAGAGATACTACGGTTTCACAGAAAATTGCCGTGTCGGCTAAAAGGTGGGCAATGCACTTGCAACTACGCTGGTATTACGGGTATCCATTGACGGCACCGATACCTTACTCAGGTAAGGTATTGTATGCTGGGAATCGAGAATATTTGATACAAAATCAAATATTTATTCTTGAGTATTGACTCGATTGCCAGCAAATCATAAAAAAATAAACAGCTGAGATACTATGAGCTTGTAAAGTTAATTTATTAATTACCTTTGAGTATTTAAACAATCTGTATTTTAACTACAATCAGCTCTGTCAGTTGTGAGTCGCATCGCACCGGGATAGTCGTGAGAGCGTGATAGTTTACTATTCAGTTTACAACATCAATATACATATGTATAGATAGCAGTATAGTATGTTAGCCTCAATTACCAAATTATTGTTGGATAAAGTTTATATTATTACTCTGCACGCCTTTAACTCCAAATTAATGACGAGTTATATTGCAGTTTGGCAAAACACGTATTCAGTTTGTTTAACCTTATTACTAAATAAGTGGCGTTACTAAGTAATCATTACAATAACTAGTGTGCAAAACGGTGTCTGTTCCTGTGTAGGTAAGTATGACTTGTGAGGAATGCCACAGACAGACTGATAAAGTTAAAATGAAGAAGATTCCAACAGCTATAAATTATCCACAAATCACTTACACTATATATTTGCTGTCCAATATCCATGCTAAGACAAATAAGGTCAGCAGAAATATTCATTTCATTTTTCATTATATTATGAGTTTCTATTTACTCAAGAGCTGTGTGAGTGTTTAAATATACATTAAATAAAACTTTTAACGAGTTACATTAGATTTTTTTTATGAGATAGTTTGGCATACGAAACTTCGTTTTACCTGATGGTAAACAATCGGCGCCGCCCACGGGCACCCGCGACACCAAAGAAGTTACGAGTGCGTTGCCGGCCGTTTTTGGATATTTCGGTATTGAAGGGACGGGGGAGGGGAGGAATTGGGCGTCTGGTAACCTCACTCACACGGCGAAACACAACTCTGTAATTGTTTCACGCCGGTTTTCTGTGAGACCGTGGTATCACTCCGGTCGAGCCGATCCATTTGTACCAAATTCGTTCGATCTCGACTCTCCCAGTCTTAATGCCTACAATATTTATATTTCTAACGATAATTTTTGTCTATATTTAGATACAGGTATTAAAATTAATTATACTATCTACCTTATTACTTGGTATTTAGGCAGTTTTTAAACGGTGACATTATATTTCTATTTCTGTGTTACTAAAGGAAAATTCCGTAAATAAATTGTTAATTTTGTATAATTACTTAGCACTTAATTTTTAATTTTTAATGAGGTGAATGTTACTGTTGGTACATCATACTTTTTGTTATTCTAAGTCAGTTCAATCAGTGCTAGTGGAACTAGTATTTAAATTTAATAATGTGGACATATTTAAGATACTACTTTGAGAAAGTATTTTAACAATTCATGCTGTAAGAAAGAAACGAATGGTTTGCCTTTCAATAAAGTATCTGCGTACACGTAACACCGTAACACGAACACACAATGCGTAAAATGAAACCCATTTTATTACTTACGGGAGCGTAAACTTTACTACATTGTATTTTCTTGCAAGTAAATTCCGAATGATACACAAGAAGGAAATGTTTTCAATTAGATTTCCAACTGCTCCAAGTTTTAGGACTTAACTAACAATACTATTGGAGTGGTAATATAGAAATAATCTGGAAAATAAAGTCAATACACAATGCAACTTTTGTAAAATACTAACATATTTTGAACTAAGCTGTCATAGCAGATACGTATCATTAAGATGTCATGTGTATAAGTATACTAAGTTTATTACACACTAATAACATACAATCATGACGAAAAAGGATACAATCATGACGAAATTACGTTACGTTAGTAGTTTTTAGACGTGAGCAATCGTGGTGATTAACACTCAAAACCGTGTGAGAAGAGACCATTGCTCAGCAGTTAGTCAATATAGTTATAGATTGAAGATGATGAATATTTTGAAAAGAGATCCCGAGTTCAATTCATTGCTAGTTCATAAAACTTAACTATAGGTGTCTAGCTTTTAATTAACTTTTTCAGTAAAATGACGACGAAGCTCGTTTCTCAAAAAAAACTGCTTGCTAGCTACTGAAATTAAAAAAACTGGTACACTGATTGAAAGTTTATTTAGCTTTACGTAAACGCGACGAGGTAAAGACGACACGGGCACGATACGACACGAGTTCGGGACGAGTAATGAAACAAAGTTCAGTGGTCCGCCTGTATTATTCATTTTATCCCCTTCACTCCGTTAGAGTAAAAATTTGATTAACTTTGCCGTCCTTTGTTTGTTGGAAGATGAAGGGGCTTAGCGGTTTTATCAGGAAACTTGGAGCGTCAGATAGAAGTTTTATATACTTGGACTTATGGGTGAATATTGTACCTGTTTGGTATGAGGAGTAAACTATAAATTCTCCATTCTGGACAATATTATTCTAAAATATATTCTTAGAAATTATAGGGAAGTTATATATATAAATTGTTAGACTATTGTAATGGTACACTAAATTATGTATGACATTAAATTGTTCATTGAGTTTGGGTTTTTGGTTGAGGCACACTCTTACTCGTTTTTTTTATGGTATAGGTCGGAAAACGAGCAGACGGATTACCTGATGGTAAGAAATCGGCGCTGCCCATGGACACCCGCAACACCAAAGGAGTTACGAGTGCATTGCCGGCCTTTTGGGGATAGGGGTTGCGGATATAAGGATCGGGAAGGGATAGGGGAAGGGGCGGGATTGGGCCTCCGGTAACCTCATTCACACGGCGAAATACAACGTTGTGGTAGTTTCACGCCGGTATTCTGTGAGGCCGTGATATTACTCCGGTCGAGCCGACCCATTCGTGCCGAAGCTTGGCTCTCCCACACTTACTCTCGTTTACTTTTATGAAGAATTATTAACGTAACTATCGCAAATTAGGAACACTGTTTACTTCCCAAATGGCTCTTTGTTGAAAAAACAAAAGTATTCGTAACACAAACCACATATCAACAATTACGTTAATATTATGAAATTAATGTTTTAATATTTCTCAGTAACCATAACAACATTCTAGAAGGTAATTGTCCTGTGTTTTTAAGAAAAACAAACAAGAGGTCGTTAATAAGGCGAAGTAAGTAACGAGTCCTGTACAGACACAAGTACATGTTCTAATACAGAAGGTTTATTTCGCAATGTCATGTTAACTGACTTACAAGGGTATTTAACCGCAAGAAACAGAAGGATACAAACCTTCCTTAAGTAATACGTTCGGGGCAGCCATAACTGTAATAATGTAGCATTCAGTCAGTAATACCGTTCAAATAAACAGGTTTAATTTGATTTTGTTTTCGAAAAGGTTGGTAATAAAGTTTTTTAGTACTTAAATAAATACAAATTTCTTATTATAGTGTTGAATCTATCATTTTATCTTCATCATCAGTCTACTACGGCTTACTGTTGAGCAGAGGTTTTTACTCACGTCGGGAAAGTTTGAGCATTAATCACCACACTTGTTAACGTGCAATTCAATCCTTAAAAAAAGAAATTGTGTATGTTTTTATAATAACTATCGTGAGACATACTAAATTAACTAAAATTCGCGGGTTACTCACGTGTACATGTTGAGAAAAGCTCTACTACTTTCGAACCACAGAGGGGTTCTTCCTCATGAGCAGCGTGCGCGGACGCGGCGGAGTAGTCCGCCGTAGGAAGAACCCCTCTGTGGTTCGAAACTAGTAGAGCTTTTCTCAACATGTACACGTGAGTAACCCGCGAATTTTAGTTAATTTAGAAATTGTGTAGTTTCCTTAGCCAAAAAAAAAAAATATATTTTGACTTTTTAAAACAATGAGATAGGTACATAATATTATCATTCATTGATTTGGCAATATATTCTTCTGTCATAATTCCTTTTTAGCCACATTTTTAGAAATACTGTGCTATTTTTATAATAACATTACAACGTTGATGTTGCAATTTCATACAAAAATTTACAGAAAATATAGTTTTTGGCATTTAAAAAAAAATATTATATTATATGGTTGAAAACTACAAGATTATAAGTCCAGATTTCTTCATGATGTTTTCGTTTACTGTAACATCAGTGGAGTGTGAAAATTATCTTGGAAAGTACATGACAAAATAATTCAGAAAAAAGTCGAATTGGTAGTTTGTAATGTACCCCTGTAATATCTCGGTCTTTGCTTACCGTGCAAGTTCATGTTATTAAAGTTAAGAAATTTCTTTTTATTTCTCTTGTCCTGTGTCAAATGTTGTTTTATTAACCTACTAATTGGCAGGTAGCCTGATAGTTCAAGTTCATCCAATATTTGTCACGAGTCACGACGACATCGGAATGTCAGTCAATCAATGCCTTTCGTGTCTCGGTAGAGAATAGGATATTTTTGGAGTGAGCTACTGAAAGATATCAGATTTTGTATCGCCTATTTTTCGTGACAAATAAGATTCAGAAATAATAAAATTAAATGGAAATAACATCATTGTTAAAAACCGAAGCAAAAATTTACCTTCATTTTTATATGAAACTAGCGGCCCGCCCCCGCTTCGCACTGGTCCAACTATCTCGCTATCAAAGGGTCATTTTTTCCTGATCTTCCCCTCTACTATTCTAAGTTTTCATTGATAAGAACCTTCTCCTGATAATAACACAACAAAAAAATAATTAGTATAATTGGTTCAGGCGTTGTTGAGTTATGCGCTTACCAACACATTTTGCGATCCATTTTTATATATAAGATTTACTATCATACAGTAAATATATCAGTACAAAATATACGGTTTTCCTTTAGGCAAAGCTCGAATAATTTCGTTGGCATGATATATCCCTGTATATTGATGTAGCTGCGTATATATATCAGCGTGTAGTTGGTAGCGCGTTGCTGAAGCTGTACAACAATAGGTGTCGGGTTACTGGCTCCCTATTGTTGTCAGGAGCTGCGCACTAAACGTGCCTCTCACTCTCTCCTGTGAATTTGCGTGCAGCGCAAGATAAATGTTTTCACTCTGTTATTGAGTGGTTTTTAACTGAACACAATACACCTCTCAGTATGATTCGTGTTGCTATGCTAGTAGGAAGGAAAAACTGGAGATATTATAATGTTTTATGAAGATTTTCTCAATGAGATCTACTTACAAAAGAAGTTATTTAAGTGGTTTAATTACTTCGACATTTTGAGCAATAGAACCTAATAATAAACTAGAGAAGTATGCGTGTCCTTAATATAAAAATAATTTGTGTGTGTGGCTTCGTAGGTGTGGAAATTAGACAGTAATTAATAACGTTTAGATAAATCATAAAGCGTTGAGGTTGCTGAAGCAGGAGAAGAAACAGATTGCTTTTTAGTCAGAAAAAGTCTAACACTACTCTCACCCCACCCAAGTCGTTTGACGACTTTTACCTCTAAAAAGAGGTTCATCGAAAAGCACCGCTTTCCATTCATCAAATGTGTAGTTTCTTAGTCACCTTATACAATAACCTCAGTAAGAACAGGGGCAGCTTAGACCTTCTTTGCTCGATAATACTAACAAACAAAGCAGTTGTAAGTAATAAATTGATGAGTACTTGTTACATGTAGATGTTAAGTTATTTATAGCAAATGCGTCCGTCAGATATTAGGATAGGTCACGCAGCCATACAGTGGAACGTAGGTACAGAAAGCACATAAACAGAGGACGGTATATCAAAACAGAATTTGAATAGAAATAAAGTAAACAACACAGGTTTTTAAATACATATTAATATATTAAGTTTAGTTCATATACAAATTATCGAACATCGAAGGCTTGTGTTGATGGTAGAAATGAATACATGTTATTGGATACAGATGTATCTAACTAAGGGTCTGTACAAGTGTATATACAGTGAACGGGAAGCTGAGCTCTTTTTATTTATTTTTTTATTTAAGAAAATCCTAGTGTGGAGTAAACACTAGGATTTTCTCGTGTGTCGTGGGTGCGTTTAAAACATACACATTAACATAAGAATACACTACCTCCAGACCCGAAACAACAATTCGTAAATCACACAAAGAGTTATTTCGTGCGGGAATCGAACCAGAGCGAGACGTTGCGCGGCAGCCAGGTGCCAAGCCACCGCGCCAACCGTGCGCTCTTTAAAAACTTTATCTATTCAATCTGAAAACTCCAACTTATGTACTTGGCAATCGTGAATGTAATGAATAAACTTTCTTTTGTATATTAAGCTAATAGCCCTGCAATAAGAACTCTATTGGCTATTGATACAAATTATTTAACAAAAATATCCGGTTCGTTTAACTGTACTCACAGTTAGCAGTCATGGAAACTACAAAGACAATTTAAACCAACGTTTACCTGTAATTATCGCATTAGATCTATGCCGGTGGTTTTATCTGATGGTTATTAGCTAACGGGTTGTTTGATTAAAGTCCTCGCTACCAGGAGGCTGCCTTTTGCAGAAAGTGGAGGAAAAAGATTTTTATTAACAAAGGGTTTGATAATTTTGTTTTAAACTTTACCTTGTATCACTTGTTGATTATACTTGAATTTCAAAATTTAACAAGACCATATAATAAAAAAACAACGTTAACTATGGGACTAGGCTAGTGATACATAGAATCCCCAGTGTAGGTAATGAAGTCACAAATGACCCGCACATTCTCTCTGTACCAAGGTTATAAGATAATTTGTTAACATTCACGATAGCTGCGACTCCACTGCGCTGCAGTTCTTAAACAAAATTGAGTTTCCTGTTAAACGGTGAACTGAAGTGGGTCAATGAGTGATTGAATTTTTTTTCAAATGAATAAGGACAAACCGCCATCTTTCCGTAAACCGTCTCTTCCTGCAAATTTTTACATAATTTCTGTGAAAACGAAAAGTGATTAATTCATCTTTGTATTAAAGAAAAATGAATTAATCACTTTCCGTGTGTATGCTTTTTGTTTTTCTAATGAATATTCAAAAGTTTGTATTTTGTTTTCACAAAACTTTGTTGTGTTTGTATTAAGTATGTTTTTACATAAACACCTTATTGAAAAGCTGTATGTTCAGATGAATGAATTACTTCCTACATATTTATTATTATGGATTTAACCACAGCTAAAGGCTAAAATGTTAAAATTATTAATTTCACAATTCACAGGATTAAAGTAACCAATGAAAACATCGAACAATGAGCACAAATAATTCTTCATCAGAGCTCCACTCTCCCGAACGAGTTCTCAAAACTTTAATTCCAAAGCAAAGCAAAGAACTAAAGAACGCAAAACTTCTACATAAAGCTAAGTGCACACGTGATTACATTAAGTGGTACTGGACTCATCCCGCGAGTGTAGGCGGGGGTTCATTCTCAATGCGATAAAGCTTCGTTAGTGATTGAGTGCAAGTGATGGATTGAACTACAGCCAGGAGTGGCTTTAAAAACGAGACTTTTGATACTCGAAGCAATTTTTAAGTACTTTTTACTTTTGCTGTTTGAGACTGTAATCAATTTGCTGGACTTCTCATACATATGTGAGTACATTAAAGTTTATTCTGCCTACGTTATATAAGCTGTCTATTTAATTGCAGTGATATATAGAAACATGTAATTCGCTACATTTAAAAGTATTATATTACAATGTACAAATAAAGATGGACGGATAGACGGCTGGGTAGTTTCATTCTGAATGCAATTTGGCGGAGAATAAAGGTCTAGGAAAATACATAGGGTACCTTTCTAGGTACAAGACATTGGCAGATACATACAAGTAAATAATATAATAATATGGTTAAACTGATGAAACAGGAATTAATTAGTCTATTGATGTAAGTTTCTGATAGAGCACTAAACTTTACTCTTACAACAGAAACTAGCTTGAGAGTCAAACCGCGAACCGAGAACACTCCAAAGTCTAGAAACTACGCATGTAGCTCGCAATATGTAACTACATGTACAGGATATAGCCTCATCTGGAGGGCTAAGCAATTAAGAGGTTATTACCCCTCCCCACACGTTCATAATTCGTCAATTCCCTCCCGGGCCACAATATGAGTGAACTCTCGTCGGCCCTCCGGCGGCTCTTACGTCACTCAGTAATTACTGACCCTACATCGCTGTATCAACACACACATAACGTGTATGTTTAATGGGAATCAGAACTTAATACAGATAAATCGAATTTTGAAATTGTTTGGGTATGAAAGAAACACGATACATATAAAAGTAGCAAATCCAGTGAAATAATCTCAGTCTAAAATGGACCGCAACGCCTGGTAGCAAGCAGATATAAATACAGAAATCCAACTAAATTAAAACTAAGTTCACAATAATCTTCCTAATCCTTTACCAAGTTGGGAAACCTTAAGGATGTCGGTACACATACAGCGTATTCTTAAAAAACGGGCAAATAAAATATCAAATTTCCTACATCATATTGTGTGCATGTGTGTGTTACGACGTCACAAATGTAATTTGCCCACGATCTTTGAAGTTGTACACCCAACCAGGGTATATTATTATTACATGGCCTCATTTATTGTAATGCCCAACGAAAATTGAGAACAATTTTTGCGTCATTTTTTTTATAATATGTGACGGCAAACGATCTGACGTATTACCTGATGGTAAGCAATCAGCGCCGCCCAAGGACATCCACTACAACAGAGGAGTTACGAGTGCGCTGCCGATCTTTTGGAATTTCGAAATTTATGAATTGGGAAGGGATTAGGGGAGGGAAAGGATTGTCTTCCGGGAACCTCACTCACACGGCGAAACACAATGCTGTGGTTGTTTCACGCCGGTTTTCTGTGAGGCCGTGGTATCACTTCGGTCAAGTCGACCCGTTTGTGCCGACGCATGGCTCTCCAACACTTTCATTCGTCATTGTGCTTGGGTTGCTTTTTAAGTAAATATAAACTTTTGTAGAATAAGCTGCCTGCATGCATGCGTTTGGATCTTAAGGGCTCAGGAAATAGGCGATGTAATATGTGATACTATAGTAGTTCTTTATTGCACAGTTCCCTAAACACCCGTATTTTAAAGTATCTTGTGCGTAATATCAACGTAACAGAACCTATATTCTATAGAAAACCTACATAGGCTAAAAGGTCTTTTTCAACCAGAGCGATTGTAAAACGCTTACTCGGAACAAACGTCAATCAACAAGTTGTGTTTATGAAAATGGAGACTTTTACTATAAATAATACATTATAATTACAGAGTACACTACACAGTCTAGTTAGCTAAATATATTAAGTTAGTAACACAAACACGTAAGGGAACTTAGCGTAACACATAAAGAAAATATTATTAGTGCGGGACCTCCCACACACGGGGTCTTTTGTACCGTAACGTTTGCTAACGACTGGCAAATTGCCTGCCTACGTCGTGACGTCACATATAAGCATGCTATTGTGTTAGGTTTCAACCTATGTTATTTTATTGATAAACAGGATATTTTCTTATTAATAAAAGTGTTCATTAAAAGTGCCTATTTGTATATGGAATTACATTATAAAAGTAATATGTTTTGTTAAGTACGCACCTGCCTGTGTCCTCATGTCCCTGGAGACGATGGCTCCGTGCGCGTTGTGCGCACGGCAGCGGTACACCGTGGCGTGCACGTCCTGCCGGTACTGCACCGCGCTGAACGGCAGAAACACCAGCGTGCCATTGTCCAACACTTGTCTACAAACAAAAATTATCGATTAAATAAAACTTACAATCCTTTCGACATTAACAAAAAAAAAACAAGAATTTCAAACGTAAGTAAAATAAAACATTGATATAACTGTACAAGAATGGGCAGTTTATCTTTGAAACACGACCATTACTTTTCCCTTTAAGACACATAAAAAGTGCCCAACTTCACCACCTCAAGACCTTTAACCCGAAACAAAAACGTAACGGCCTTATCAATATCTTAAAAAATTAACTCGGCGCCATAAACCGCGCGCGATTCCCTCAATTATTCCTGGCTTTAATTTCCTCAATGAAAAAAGGATAAGACCGAATTAAGGACGAACTGCAGCACCTTTTAAAAAAGAAATGGCGGCCCGTAATTGGTGTTGGGGAAACGGCGGGAAAATTCTGAAAATATTTTACAGGTACGACTATATTGAAGGGAGCAATACGAATTGGAGATCTGTTGGCTTGCAGGTAAAATTGTTGTGTGCGGTATAACAGCGAAGGTAAAGTTCAGGTTAATTGAGTGGAAACTGGCTGGATAGTTACAGTTACGGTTGGGGAACTGTTATATTTCGTTGGGTTTAAACATTTACTTAAGGGTAAACAACTGTCACTAATATTATGTAGATAATAATGTATACTGCCCACAGTAACAAAAATAACAAGACAAACAATTTTTTTGTTAAGGCTCCGAGGGATATCGACAGCTCTATACGAGGCCACGTCAAATCAAATACTCAGTAGGAATACAAAACATCCCACCTCGATACTGAAGGCGTGTGACGTCATTGTTCATACCGACCGTGCTGTGTATAATCGAGACTCGAAACGTGTGGTACAACTAATATAATTATAATAATTACGTATTAATATTATTGTAGGCAAATGCAGGGATCCTCATGAATGTTAATTTACCAAAACAAACTTATACAAATGTTGTTTATAGGTTAAACTAACAACTATCTATTATATTGTATAATAAAAATAATAAAATCTTGTCAATAAATTGCGTAGGTAACTAGCGGTTTATAAAAACCGGTCTGCTGGTATGTTAGGTGTTGTGTTACGAAAACGTAATTTTGTGCGCCACGTCAATGTTGTCAAGAACAAACCTTGTGTTGTGTACAAATAATATATCTTAAATAAAACAATTTTCTTGTAAATTTATCGATCATTTTTTTATGTAATAGGTCGGCAAACGAGCAGAAGGATTACCTGATGGTAAGCAATCAGCGCCGCCCATGGACACCCGCAACGGAGGAGTTACGAGTGCGTTGCCGACTTTTAAGGGATTAGGGATTTAGAGATTTAGGAACTGGGGAGGGATTAGGGAAGGGGAAGGATTGGGCCTCCGGTAACCTCACTCACACGGCGAAACACAACACTGTGGTTGTTTCACGCCGGTTTTCTGTGAGGCCGTGGTATCACTCCGGTCGAGCCGATCCATTCGTGCCGAGGCATGGCTCTCCCACACTTGAAAGTTCATTCTCATGATGAGAGAATAGTTTTATTGGATATTATTTTCTATAGTTGCATAAATTCTACCTAACAGTTATGATCATTTTTATGGCATACGTTGAATACGACGACACGGATCACGGATCAATCAGTCAGGACACCCGCATCACGTGAGCAGTTATAAGGTGTGTTATTGGATTGATACAAATTATTTAATGGCTTAGTCACGCACCTTCTCGTAACTGTTTGACTCACTCACTAAACTAGTCGAGTTTCTTGTCAACCACGTGAGTAAGCCGTTAGGCATAATACATAATTTTTGGGAATGAGAGTAAAAAAAACTCTATTTTTCTGTGTAAGACTCCTTTTTATATTATATTAAGACGAATGCCGGTGTCGTTAGTCCTAAAATGTGGGTGTACTTTAAACCCATGGAGGAGTAATTTCTTTGTGGAAATAACTGGAAAAACAAATTAATAGCAATTTTATTTGGAATTAACAAAAAATCACCCCTATTTAAGGACTATAGTAATAGCCATTTTTTACCATACTCTGTGTCCCGTCAAAACTTATGACACGGTGTGATGTTCACTTTGTACATGGCTCTATGTGTGTATATGTCATTTGATTCCTACTTTACGTCACATACATATACATATATACAGTCTATATGTACATTTGTACGTATACCTACCAGGCGTCACTCAAGGTTCCCATTTTAATTTACCTTTCAACGGAATTACAACGTTCACTTCTCTTTAAAACACTCCTCTTATTAAAGTCGGCTTTGTGGTCTTGTGTAGGTTCGGTGTTAAAATAGAATGTATGAATTGCGTCTTACAATTTGAAGGTATTTTATAAAGACGGCTTTAGAAAAAGAAAATATTTTCTCATTTCGCGCGTTTATTTAAATTGTGTTGAGAATAAATGTGTAGTTTATTACTAATTTTAGTACATTACTTTTGGCGTAAGTTTAGACAAATGAAAATTGATATTTATATATTTATGCTTATTTAAACAGAATATTTATCAAAGGCATAATATATAAATATTCGACCCATTTTTGATTCCAGACAACAGAAACGAGAGAAGTTATTAATATAAACTGAATTCTTCATCTAGAGTCTATCGAAATAGGTGGGCTATACTTAGAAGATACCTGTTGTCCGTAAAATAAAGAAAAGAATTCAAAATGTGCATTATCTTCACAAATGTAAACTTAGCTTTTAATTCCTTTAGTTTGTGCTGCATTGCGTCCGCACTAATACAAGTATAGCTGCGCTAATGTTTACATTTATTCTCTTAATCGTACAAACTTAGCGTAACTCTTCATTATAATATCGTTATATCGCTCGGTTTGTAAAAAAATAAATAGTACAATTTTGTACAATACATACAGGTTACAGAGAAAATAAAATATCAAAAGCTTCAGATTAAATTAACTGTTTCTTTAGTACACTTACTAAAGAGACAGTTAATTTCGAAAATGTGATTGAATTCAAATCTTGTTTTTCATCCCGGATACAAAATAATTATGTCTGCATTCAACTATAATTAAAATTTAATTTTAGACATTATTGTGCTCATATATGGGCGTGCCCCTACGCCACCCATACACATACAGCTTGTACCACGGGGAGTGCTTAAAATAATAGTGAAGTTTGATCTTAGCCATATCTTTTTGCCGTCGACCCACGCAAGAATACTTTCATCTACATCACGTACGCAGTAAGCAGTCAACAATTTCGCAATGAAACTTTTTGCCTTGCACAGCAAAATTTTGGAATCATTTTTGGCTGTATTTCGTAACTGATAGGACATGCAAACCTTCAAGAAAAGACGTCTTCAGACGTTCTCCATAGACGGCGCTGATAACTTACTTTCTGTTAAGTAGTCTACTCGTTTGCCTCCCATTCAAAAAATAAAATGAAAACAACAATGGGAAGAATTGTAATATTTTGAGTACAATTTTTCTGTGTCTGGACCTTAAATAAAATTATAGACTACTTATGTAGTCCTAGTACTTATTCCAGAATGGTCAGTGTACGGACAAACACGGTACTTGTACCACACAAGGCCAGGTATAGCGTATAGGTACGTTGTGTATGTGTAACCCGCAAGCCGCGCCGAGTGCCGACTGACCCTTTGATGTTAAAATGTAATCGTTTTATGTGCCAGCGGTTTTGAGTTGGGTTTTCACACTAAATGGAGAGCTTTCCAAGATTTTTTTATTAATATTTTATGTGGTTTGGCTGCTTGGTTTAGGAATATGTTATTACAATATACTATAATGATATGCAAGGGTTTTAACTAATGCTATCCAATATTAATGTATGCATAATTTCTTTAAATTACCAGTCGATATAAAACCTGTCTATACATTTTCTAAACATGTTTAGTATCAAAGAGTGATGTAAAACTGCAACATTATCAACAAGTTGTACACAACACATTACCAACTGCCAGCCACAACCCATTTATCTTCATTCGAAGAACAAAAATACCAAGATGGAAGACAAAGACACAGGGTGTCTCATTTGTCATTCCTCGCTTGGTTTTGAAGTTGATGGTATTTTCGGAAAACAATACACGTTTTTGTGAGATAGTAACTATTTAAGCAATAATTTAGAGAAATCATATGTCTTGGATTCATTATATGTCTGCAAGGAAGACCTATATTCAGTTAAATGTAATATTAGATATGTATATACATGTGCTTGCACGTAGTCCCACATTTGTAACCGTACCCCAGTTCATATTTGTATAATAATTGAGGTAAAAGTCGTAGCTCGTTTTAATTAACGAGCATTTTATTTTCGCTGAACTGCGGCCGAAAATACAAGTTTTAAAATGTAGTTGAGTATATTTTATTACGTCGAGCAATTAATACGAGGGACCAAATGGAAAATGTAAAAGTAAATAATTCATACATTGTGAACTGCTATATACTGTATATGTACAGTACCTTCGTTTCATTTCGCGATGTACATGCTTCGATTTTTCACTGAATTATTATAGAACATTTTGTTTTTCTGTTTTTTGGTCAGCGTTCGGCTGTGTGATACGATATACATAATAGTACTCGAATTTCAGTTGGCAATATTGTATTTAATGGTCAATGTTTTTCGGATTTCCCACTATTTATTTCGAAATGGCAGTACATGCAGCTATTGTTTACTGTTTTTGCAATTTCCTAGAATTCGATAAATGACAACTAGTTAAATTGAATATATATTTTTGGAATCGTTAAATAATGTTTTTTTATTTAAATTTTGTGCAGTTTTGTTTGTTGCGACGTCGTGTTTTTTACGTCAAATAGCATGATATTAATAGAATGTTTCTTGGAAATCAGATGCAAAAAATACGAGTATAAAGTTATTGAATTGCATTGAAAAATCTAAATAATTTATTTGCCATAGATAATCATAGTTTTTTATCAAGCAGAATTTATCTCTGTAGATATATTGTTAGAAAATGTATTTTCGTCGAAAATATTTACCGATACTAACCTCACTCGATCACAGGGACTTGGAACAAATTTT